TGTCTGAAGCAAGCTCCTCAGCATCAGATTCCACAGAAACCAAGTCAGGTATGACACTATTCCCCCTTCTGATCTCCCAGGGTCCAGGGTAGAATTCAGCCGGTTAGGATTGGTTCTGGCAAACTAGTAGCTCTGACGATCAGCTGAGAGCAAACCGGTTTGCTATGACGATCAGGTTGGCCCACCTGCCAACCCTTGTGCTTTATTTACTTATATTCACTCAGCTGATTTAGCACGGCAGAGTGGATTGCTGTGCCTCAGTTGTTTTACTCTCCAAGAAGTAACGTGGAAGGTAAATTTTGTTAAAACTGTGCATGCAGCAAAACACGCGAGCACCGAACTGGTTGTTAAACCAGCAGGATCCCACCATTGCCAGGGGCCCCTTCTTTCCTAACCAAGGGCTTGGGCTCAGAAGTGGGTTGCCAATTTTTTTTACTAACAGTCCAGGCACGCTCCCAACATGGAGCTACTACTGGTTTGGCCGATCTACGCTGAAACGGGAGCAACCCACCTCTGCCTGGGCTTCAAGGGAGAGCACCAATGAGAGTTGCATCAGCCACAGGGCATAGACTTGTTCCATGTCTTCACACAAGGACTTCTCTGGTCTGTGATTATTAGCCCTGCAAGGTAGTCCAAATAAGAAGTCCAACCAGGATTATTAATGCAATCAGGGTTAACATTAATAGAATCTTGCAAGACTGAAAGCATTTATTCCCTCCTCTCCTTTCACTCTCTGGGGAGGGCGCTTTCTTGAAACATTTCCCATGCCATCCCTCCTTTGGTGAGTTGAAGTTGTCCAGTCTGCAGCTGTCTCTCCTGTCTCCCACAGTCATTCTCACACACCATTACAATAGTCCTTCCAATCTATGAAGTATCCAGTTTAGGCAGTTCCAATGATGGAAGGTCTGGAATGTATATCAACTCATATTTGAGTGTCTCCGGAATTAAACACAGGTGGCAGAAGTGGTGTGTCATGATGGCATGGACTCAAGGTAGCCTCAAGAGGAATGAAATCTGGAATCTACCTTCAGCATCAAAAGCAGCTTGATCCTGTACACAATGTTGATCACAGCCTCTGTAGGAAACAAGTCTAGGAAGCAATAGTCTACTTTTCCCAAAGGCCATGGCATTGCCATATACGCTGTCAACATCCACACCAAGTGTCCCATTACCAGGGAAGCCCTAGACTGCTAATGCTAATCAATGAAACTTTGCAGACTTCTTAGCATTTTGGAGCTGGACTTCAAGGACCTGGTGGCTTGTGATTCCTGCAGCAGCTTGTTTCTGGCCAGAATAGAGAACGCTAGTTGTAGTAATGGGAAACATTGGGTTGGAAATCATAATTTGCCACAAAGAGTGCCATTTGACTAAACACATGCTGGGCATTGTTATAGACAAACTCTGTAAATGTCAGAAGCTGCACTCAACTGTCCTATTGGTACTTTGTCAATCTCTATATACATTTATACAATTGAGGATGGAGTGCCAATAGCATGGATCTGGAAACCCAGATTTTCAAACAGCACCTGCCAAAATCAGGTAAGTAAATGGTGGACTGCAATTGGAAATCAGATTCCAGCAAACCATGTGTGCAAAAAAAAAAAAGTTCTGTAAAAAGAGCCAAGCCATCTCTTGTGCTCTAGAGTGAAGTCTGAGCAAAACACAAAATATACCCAAGTAATGTTCAGTATTTCTGGGGTTTTGAAGGATCCCAAAGACTTGGCTTTTGGTGAAGGTGACCGAAGATCCCTTTTCTTCTTTTTCTTTGTTGCTATCCAGAGGTGTAATCCCTGCCATCCTGGGAGGGTGTGTGTGTGTTTCCTTCTTTATAAATGTTTTAAACTATTTATAAAGTGTAAAGTACCCAGAGTCGACCCAAGTCAGGCAGCATATAAATTTCATAAATAATCTTTTAAAACTGGGGTTTAGTGCTATAATATCTGTTGCACACTTTTAATCTGTGGAATTCTGGAATCTGGACAGATCTACAAGAAGGATCCTAGCAGATGGAGAAGACTAGGATTACACAGAGAAATGTATCACAAATAACAGCCAAAACTCCAGTCACTATATTAACCACTAATTAATCTTTCCTCCATCAAAGGGTAGGATAAATTGCTTTTATATCACAGGAGCTAAAAACAACTGATCTTAAGCTATTATGAAGTGAACCCTATTACTTTAAATTATGGGAGAGCAATTTGAGACTCTCAGATTAATATTGGGTACCCTTCCACCTAGTTTAAAACCATCTGCAAGAGTTCTGTTCAGACTATTGATAAGAACTATCTGGCTCTTCCCTACATTGTACTCTTAGAAATAGGAGTGTCATAAGGAAAAAAAAACTGGTATCAGAGGGACATCAGTTGTCCCACTCCATTTGAGTTTTGCCACCACCTATTATAATGACCATATCCACATACAGTACCTCCCAAGAGATTGCTAGATGAAAAGAAAAGAAAGGATATAAACTGGGGATAGACAATGTTTAAACAGTCTTATATTAAGCTTTAAGAGTTAACTTTATATGAATTAAAAGTAACACATTTGGAGCATTTTCAAAATTCACAATGCACTGTACATTTGAGGTAGCTAACAAAGAAGCAAAATAAAAGTCTGGTGTAAGAAACAACAATACTATTCAAATAGGTGTGGTTGTTTGATTACTGAGAGTAATCAAGTGTGATGCAGCAGTTAAGGTGAAGGACTAAAAGTGAGGAGAGCCTTATTTACCATAGAAAAGCTCTGGATACTCTGGGCCTATAGTTGTCTCTCAGCTCACTCTCTCTCACAGAATTAGTATGGAGGGAGCGAGGGAGCAAATATGTACTGCTTTGAACTCATGAAACTAAAATGTTCCTTATCCTCTTTCATTTTAAGAATACTATTGCAACAACTCTGCTTTTTTAGTCTAATACATTATCAGAACACCTATTTGCTATTAAAAAAACTGTTGAAATGAAAAATGAGAGACATCTATATGGGAGGTCAGTTTCTTCCCTAAGGAGTCACTTTGCTGCAGTGAATTCAGAGACTGCTATTGAAATCAAGCACTGAAAGGTCATTTTACTGATGACACAATAAATGTTTATTCTGCCTATTCTTATATATTTGGTGATTGGTGGGTATTCTCTCCCTCCCTCTTTATATAATTTGTTAAAACATGAAAAGATAAAACTTCAAAATATTACTGAGGGATGAAACTGATTTATTTCTGTTTGAAAATCTCATCATTTTCAATGTGCCTATACTTATCCTGAATATTGTCTCTTAAGACTTACGTGATAGAATATCAAAATTAAGATTTTAAAAAATGACTGCTACAAAGTATCTCTACATTTATATATCATGCATATAAATCTAATAAACCTAAACCTATTCTTAATGTAGGTCAGTAGTATTATCCCAATATTGCAGAACACTAATACAGTTGTGTAATAACCCATAGTTCTCATTCTGGACATACTAGGGGGGTATGGAAAAAAAATAGTTCATGATACAGTTGGATTAAACTTTTACTTCTCTCTGGGAATAGTGCACAACTTTCAGTAGACAACTGTCATGGGTAAAATCCATGCTAAATGTTTTGGAAAAGGACCCTTAGGGTTGCAAACTGTATAAAACTATATCACACTTCTTTTGGGGACTCTTTGGGGGAAAAGAACTTAGGAAGGTGCTTTTAACTACCTTATGATATGCCTATGGCATATCTTAACAGTTTTGTTCCTCGTTCAGAGTGGTGAGGAACTGTTGTTATTTTTAGAATTTTTTGTTAAGAGGATATGATAATGAGGACCACAAAAAGGGACTTAAGGTCTACATGCTGACCACTTACTGTAAACATTCTGCCAATTAAATAGTTTGTTGATTTGGAAAAAAAAATCCAAATATATTGAAGCCCGAGTTATATACATCAGTATTAATGAATTTATTTCCAAAGGTAAACATATACAACTGCCAATTCACAATATCTGAGTACAAAGTGCTTCCTTTGAAATAAGCAGAAGCACATTTATGATCTATTTAGAATTTCAGACAAAATCAATCCCAATATTATTGAGAATTATTATTAATCATCACAGTCAGCTAGATGTTCAGATTGGGTTTGGCATTTTTGTCTACCTGAGTCCTTACCAAGGATCTGGGATAGGCAAATCTGGATCTTTGACGGTGTTAACAGATATCGTCACAGGATGGAAGCAGTTCCATATTATTATTGTTGTTGTTATACGTTGAAGTTAGCCCAATTAAATGACTTACTCCAAAACCACGTGCAATGCATTTTCTTGTAAACATGTGTGTAACCCTTTCATTACCCTCAGCATTGAATTTATTCAGGAATAAATTTACACAGCTCCATTCTTATCTGTATGTACGAAACGCCCCTCTTTTATATTTGGAGCCCAATTTTTTTAACGTTAAAACTCTATAGTTTATATTAAAAATTTATTAAACAGAATCTATGAGCTGATGACCTAGAGAAACTCAAAGGACAAAAAATGTCTTTGAGGGTTTTAAGGCATCACAAGCATCTTCAATTCTGCTGCAAAAGGCGCCATGGGAGCATTTCGGGAAACGGTTGCATCACCGCAGAAAATATTCAAACATTACACGGCAGAACGATGCTACTTTCCCATTTGTATGAGTGGAATATCATCTAAGAAAGAAATATAAACTATTTCAATAGACTATAAATAAAACAAAGCGCGTTATAAAAAGCGTCATTTCTCCATTAAGCCAGCCCAACTCAACAACCCGCCGCTCCTGAAAATGGCAGCCTACAACCGGAAGTAACGACGACGTCACGTCATTGTTTTTCAAAAGCTCATCTCTGTGGTTGGGTTACGCATCTTCCGTATTTTTTTAACTTCAGAACCCGGATGGAGACGGCCGACTCCCCAGGGGCAGCGCGTCTCACTCCAAGGGCGCCTGCGCCTGCGGCGGATCAGTGTAGGCGTTCTATCGAGAGAATGCGCCGAGCCGGCAGGCAGCACTGAGTATCGGTGCGCAAGCGCGGTGGAAGCAGGCCGGGATTTAAAGGGGTAGTGTCCGCGGGTGCTGCCCCTTGGGGGGGCGGGAGGAAAGTCTCAGTTCGGCGTTTTCAGAGGCGAGTGGGCTTTGTTCCTCCTTGTTTGGAAAACATGGTTTGCGGGGGCTTCGCCTGCTCACGCAATGCTCTGTGCGCCCTCAACGTCGTTTACGTGGTGAGTATAACACCCGTTGGGACGGCTGCTTTGCTTCTTCCCGGACGTAGCTTGGAAAGGAGAAGAGCGTGGAGTTCCTATGGAGGGAAAGGGAGGTGGGGGGGGGGGGCTAGATCCAGGGGGAAGAAAGCTTGTGTGCGCGCGCGTGTGTGTGTGTGTGCGCGCATGATGATGGGGGGGGGGAGAACCCCACCCATAATGGGATTGCTGGGTGCCCCGGTAGGAGCTTGGATTTAGGGGCCAAAAAATCTGGCCAGGTCTTTCTCTGATTGTATTCTTGAGGATGAGGATGTGTGTGCCTGTGTGTGTGTGTTGGAAGGGAGCTGGAGGTAATTTTTAGAGGAAAATAAATAAGAGCTGGGTGAAGGGATGACCTCACTGCTTCTGCCTAGAGCAGTTGCCCCAATCTGGTGACCTTCGATTGTGTTGGAATGCAGGTAGTCTTCGATTTACGACCACAACGGAGCCCAGAGCTTATGTTGCTAAGCGGGGTAATTTGTTCAGACACCTTTGCCCCATTTTGTGACTTTCCTCGCCACATCTGTTAAATGAATCACTGCAGTGGTTAAATTAGCCACACACGGTGGTTAGTGAATCTAGCTTCCCCATTGACTTCGCTTGTTGGAAGCTCAGCAAAGATGATCGCATAACCCTGGGACACTGCAACTGTCGTAAATATGAACCATTTGTCAAGCAGCCGAATGTAAACATGTGACCATGGGGATGCTGCAATGGTCTTAAGTGTGAAAAATGTTCATAAGTCACTTCAAACGGTCACGAAATGAACTGTTGTAAGTTGAGGACTGCTTGTATAGTCTCGAGAGTTTCTAACTCATATGGCAGGAAATGTTGAGGGGGATTGTGGTCCCCTACAGCAGAGCAGATGGAGAAAGGCTAAGATTAATCTGTGAGAGAATGCATGGTAGGAAAAAAAGAGATTTGTTTTGTCTGACTGTTTTTATGGGCCAGGAAATTATAGAATAGTAAGAAGAGAAGCTATAAATCCTGCATACTTTGTTTGCAAGCATTTTGGGGGAAGGTGATGTGTGGGTAATGGGTTGGCCCCANGCTTGGTGATCATGTGACTGGGTGGGCGTGGCCAACTCAACATCACTCACATCGATGGGCCTTCGCCTTAGCTGTTACAATGTAATAAGGGTTAACCGGAGAGGCAGTTTCTATAAGCAGGGCAATAAAGATTAGGCTAGAAACAACACCAGAATGTTTCCTTCCTGCCTTCCTTACAGGATTAGCCCTGAAAAGTGGGAAAAAGCAAAGGGAAATTTCTTCCAACAACCGGTTCTCTGAACTGCTTAGAAAGTTAACAACCAGTTCTCTTGAATAGGTGCGCATTGGCTGAATCCCACCACTGGATAGTTGCCAGTACAGCCAGTATTGGTCAACTAGAAAGTCAGATTCCCCTGAGTTGCTACTGTACTGTGAAGCTATGGTAGCTTTTCCTTCAAACTCAGGCTTGCCCACAAATTACTATTAGTGTTCTAATTGACTGTTTTAATTGCTTTCAGTGGCTGTAATTTCTAATTTTTGTTGTATTTAATTATGTAAGTTGTCCAAAGTCAGTTAGGTGAGATTGGCAGCAATATTAATTGAATAAGTATAAGTTATTCAATAAGTTGAATAAATAAAATAAACTTCAAATATCATTCTATAATTTTTAAACTTCAAATAGCAGTCTATTGTTTTAAAATATACTGGTATCTTCTTGTGTTTAGTTTCTACTCTTAATTATGTCAACTTTTATCAAACCGCCAATGTCAAAAATGTTGCAAGAATTGCTAATACTGAGAGAAAAATGGGATAATTTTCCAGCCCACAGTGTGAATCAAATTTCACCCCTTTTTAAATAGCTTCACCTATTTCTTTGCAGAGACGTTTCTGAATTCGAGTTCCAATATAGGTACATTGTAATAATTATATAGCTCATATATAGCAGTGTTCTTATATCTAAGGGGCTGCCATAAAGAAGAGGGGGTCAACCCAGTGGTGAAATTCAATTTTTTTTACTACCAGTTCTGTGGCTTGGTGGACGTGGCAGGGGAAGGATCCTGCAAAATCCCCATTCCCTCCCTATTCCTGGGGGAAGAATATTGCAAAATCTCCAATCCCACCCCACTCTGGGGCCAGCCAGAGGTGTTTTTTGCCGGTTCTCCGAACTACTCAAATTTTCGGCTACCTGTTCTCTAGAACCTGCTGAATTTCACCCCTGGGTCAATCTGTTCTCCAAAGCATCCGAAGGCAGGACAAGAAGCAATGGATGGAAGCTAATCAAGGAAAGAGAGAACCCACCTAGAACTAAGGAGAAATTTCCTAACATCGAGAACAATTAAACAGTGGAACGACTTGCCTCTCGAAGTTGTAAATGCTCAAACACTGGAGGTTTTTAAGGAGAAATTTGACAACAGTTTATCTGAAATGTTATAGGGATGTACTAGAAGACCTCCAAGGTCCCTTCTAATTCTGTTATACTCTTGTCTTTATGACTAGGCAGTGCCCTGTTCTTGTTGTGGTGCATGCGGATCTACATGCCTGTGCAATATTTTCTCTTTGTATATATCGAAGAGACCTTGCACTTGGCATTCTTGTTTGAGAAGTGCATTTGTCACATTTCTGTTCTGTGTCCTTTCCCCTTATTTGGACAACTTCTTGTGGTTAAAAACAAATTTACCGAGCTTATCAGTAGAAGGCAACCAAGACAATAGAAGGCAACCAAGCTCAGAAAGCACCCAGGCCTATACAGTACATAGCTTATATTGGAAAGCATTTGAAATTGGGTATGAAGTATCCTGTAGGTCAGTGTTTCTCAACCTTGGTGACTTTAAGTCCCATGGACTTCAACTCCCAGAATTCCCCCAGCCAGCTCTGCTGGCTGGGGGATTCTGGGAGTTGAAGTCCACAGGACTTAAAGTCGCCAAGGTTGAGAAACACTGCTGTAGGTGGTTGTCAGTTAACCACAATAATAGGGACTGAAATTTCTATTGTTAAGCAATGTGGTTGTAAAGAGCAATATCACTCAANCCACTGCACCACTTCGGCTTTACTGTGTGTCTCGCACTTCCAGTCCCCTGAACTGGTCCAGAAAGATAACTATAATCAATAGTATTGAAAGCTGAAGAGTTAAAAATAATCCCACCATTCTGATTAAGTCGGTAAAGCATAACTTGTACATTTTATTTATATTTGAGCCTCCTTCCTGATTCATCGCTACCAGAATATCCACGTGTTTTTGAAATTTTAAAATATGCAAGTTGATTCACACAAGGACTAACCCATCTTACTAGCCAGGCCTAAAATATAATTATCGGACAGAATAATGGATAGGAAATCTTTGATAGTACAGATAGTCCTTGAGCCCTACATTCCTGATGTTAAGTTGGGTTGTTAAGTGAAACATTACAGTTGTTAAGTTAGTGTCATGGTTGTTAAGTGAACCTGGCTGCCCCATTGATTTTACTTGTAATAAAGTTGCAAAAGGTAGTAACATTACTCCAACCATCATAACCTTGAGTCAGCTGCCAAGTGCCTGAATTTTGATCACTTGACAATGGGAATGTGCAATGTTTGTAAGTGTGAAAAATGGTCATAAGTCGCTTTTTTCAGTGCTGTTGTAACTTTGAATGGTCACTAAATGAACTGTTGTCAGTTGACAATTATCTGTATAGTCTGTGGGGAAGGGAGAGGGTTAAATTTCTCTTTCCCGATTCACAAGTTGCAAACACCTTACTGAGAATGATAACATTAGTTTCCTTTTTGGGCATCCCTGCAGCCATATTGTACAATCATACCCTCCCCCCCCACTTACTTACTGTTTATTGCATAATTACACTTAGTTATTACATTAATTCTGTCACGGTCATTAGTTTTATTAGGTAAGACTTACAGGAAATGGCAACCATATGAGCTAATTCTACATTATTGTAAGCCATACAGGTAGTCCTCAACTTATAGCAATTCATCTAGTAACCGTTTAAAGTTACAACATCACTGGAAAAAGTGATTTATGAACATTTTTAACGACCATTGCAGCATCCCCATGGACATGTGATTTACATTCAGAGGCTTGACAACTGATTCGTATTTATGAAGGTTGTAGTGTCCTGGGGTCATGTGATCATCTTTTGCGACTTTCTGTCAGGCAAAGTCAATGGGGAAGCCAGATTCACTTAACAACCACGTTATTAAATTAACCATGGAAGTGATTCCATGCAAATAAAATCATCAAATGTGACAAAACTCACTTAACAAATTTTTCACTTAGCAACATAAATTCTGGGCTCAATTGTGGTCTTATGTTGAGGACCACCTGGAATAGGGTCTTGTAAGTCTGAAAGTACAAATATCACACTATCCCACTGTTAAAAAGGTTTGATAAGTTGTTGGGTGGGTCCTGGAATTCTTTGCCAATTGTGTATCTGCAGGCTCCGTCTTCTCTTATCTGATTGTTCCCTAGGTAGCATCTCTGTCCCCTCTCCGCCTCATTCTCACATACAATTACCTCATCCTTGCTCTCTATAGGTCATTATATTTCCAGCATTTTTTGAAAAAGTGATTACTCGTTTTGGGAATCAAAATTAGGGTGGTACCCCAATAGTACAGCATTTTAATACTAGTTCTCTCTGAGGGTATAAAAGCCTTTAATGCTTTGTGAAAGTCCAACAGAGTAGGGCCATCCATATTCTAAAGAGCCGAGGTGGTGCAGTGGTTAGGGTGCAGTACTGCAGCCACTTCAGCTGACTGCTAGTTCTGCAGCTCAGTGGTTCAAATCTCACTGGCTCAGGGTTGACTCAGCCTTCCATCCTTCCGATGTAGGTTAAATGAAGACCCAGATTGTGGGGGCAATATGCCGACTTTGTAAACCTCTTAGAGAGGGCTGAAAGCCCTATGAAGCGGTATATAAGTTTAACTGCTGTTGCTATTGCTATTCCTTAGAACAGGTGCCGAAACAGAGAAAACGTTTAGATCCAGTGGTGG